CTATCACATCAGATGTTAAGTTTCTACTCGAGGCAAACTCTGAAAAAGGTTACTTTGGGGGTTACAGGTCCTGGAATCTCTCCATCATTATGGGAGCTGCCATCCAAAACAATAACTTTCTCAAGCTCTGACTTGCAGGGCTGTATCCACACTACACAATTATCAGTACGATACCATTCTAATTGCCATGACTCCAACATATGGAAACTTGGTTTTTGGAGTTTGGTCAGGGAGTTACAATTCTGGTCTGGAGAACTCTAGTACACTGCCTTGAGATATACTACTAGACCTCTCTAGAAAAGATAATTCTAAGTATTGCACCAGATTACAAAACTCAAGATTCCTTAGGCTAGAAGCATGGAAATTAAAATGGTATGAAGTTGCTATACCAGAGCTTAAATTTGCAGAATTAAATAAATCATTCTGACACAGAGAATATGTTTTTTGGGATCAGAAATTAATGGAGTTTGAGTCCAGAGGAAAGGAATCAAAATAGCCAAAGATCTGGAAATAGGCCCTGTGAGAAATGGCTGAAGGATGTGGGTATGTTTAGTTTTGGTAAGAGAAGACTAAGGACATGTCTATATGGGCCAAATGAACCAAAATGCTGGAAAGATAATGGGACAGAGAAAAGGGCCTCTTCTAAAGATCTTAGAGCTCAGACACATATAGGGAGGTACAGTCCTTCAGATGTCTTGAACCTGAGCTGTGTAGAGCTTTAGAATTCATAACCAAAACTTTGAATTGTGCCTGGAAAAGACCATCAGGAGCTGTAACCACAAGGGAATTGTGTACTCCATGTTCTTGTTCTATTGTGCTTCAAATCATTTCTGACTCATGGCAATCCTAAGGCAAACCTATCATGGGTTTTCCTTGCAAGATTTGTTCAGAGGAGGTTTCTCTTTGCCTTCCTCTTAGACTGAGAGAGAATAAGGTGTCCAAGGTCACCCAGTGGTCTTTTTCTGGCTGAGTAGGGATTCGAACCATGTTCCTCAGAGTTGAAGTCCAACACTCTAACCACTGAATCATGTTGACCCATATTCCATATTTCTGCTTTCAAGTCATCTGTTGACTTATGAATTTCACGGTGGGATGGGGGTAGGCAAGAAATACTCAGCCAGTTCCTTCCTTTCAAATATATACTACAGCACCTAGAGTTCACTGACCGTCTCCCATCCAAGTACTAACCAGGCCTGACCCTGTTTAACTTCCAAGATCAGACAGGATCTGGTACCTTTGGGGTATTTAGATCCTCCATATAGCCATCCCTAACTGGCTGCGACTTTGGGGGCTAGCAGAAGGTTCTGAGCACTTTGCAAAGACAACTCCACATAGAAAGCATTACAGTGATCCAAACGGCATGTAACCAAGACATGTCTCACTGTGACTAGTGAGATATTGTCAAGAATGGCCACAGCTGAACTACTGGTTTTCATTCATAATGATTTTAAAAAAAAATCTGAGACCAGCCCTGCATTTCTTCATTTCCCTTTTATTTGCCACAATTCACTGCACTTAATAAGTACCTTGTCATTTTCAGAATTATTTTTAATGTCTTCCTTGCAAAACCTTATGTTTGTACTGAATACTGAAAATATTATGTGTATACAGAATACTGCATTTGTGAATGTATTTTTAAAATAATGGGCTTCCCCTCCCCACCTCTCACCCCTGATTTTTCACTTATATGACAGGTGTTGTTTTTATGCTCTTATCTGTGTTGCTATGGTGCAGATACCAACATTGCTGCTATAATTTTTGTTCCTCCAAAGTACACCTTGAAAAGAGTAAATGCAGTCATGTGTTTACATCACCAGAAAACAACATTGAACATTATGGATAGGGTGGTGTATTTCCATTGCCTCTGATCCCATACTTTGCAAGTATGTTTTGATGCATTGTGTGATCATGCAAACAGAGCATTAAGAAGTTGTACAATTTCCTGAAAATGGTGTTATGTTTATCGCCTGCTTCTAGGTTCCCATAGGGAACTGTGAGCCACCTATCTTACCCTGAGCTATTGGGAATCCCAGGAAAGTGGGAGAAAAGTGGAAAATAAGTCAACTTTTAAAATTATAATAATAGAATAACATGTCAGAATGTGTGTGTATCTGTTTCAGCCATAATGAATCAAGACATTAATGGCTTTAAATATGAGTCTTTCTGGTTGTTATCTAAGGGCATGTCTGTGTGTGTTGTGTGCCTTCAAGTCTTTTCCAACTTATGGTGACCCCATTATGGGGTTTTCTTGGCAAGATTTGTTCAGAAAAGGTTTACCATTGCCTTTTCCTGAGGCTGAGAGAGTGTGCCCTGCCCAAGGTCACCCAGTGTGTTTCATAGAAAAACTGGGAATTAAACCCTGATCTCCAGAGTCATAATCCAGCACTCAAACCACAATGCATATTGGTTCTCTAATGCTGCATAGTCAATCAGAATTTCCTATCTTATGATGGTCACTGAACAAAAAAGTAAATGGATAGCAAGGGCAGTGCTTCCTAAACTGATCACATTAGTGATTTCACATCAGTTCTACACCATGGCACCCATCATATTTGGTTATATGATGAAGTCAGTGAGAGCAAACAGGGATTCTCATACTAAAGAGGAGAAAAGTTTGAAAATGTCATAGATGTTATTGAATAAGAGTGAGAAATAGCAACTCAGGAGATGCCACAGCCCTATGATGGTTATTCAAAGGTAGAATTAAATCTCTGAGATATCTACAGCCATTTTGCTGAAGGAACATAGTTATGAAACATAAAATCAGAGAGAATGAGGAAGAGAGGGAGAAGCTTTTGTTTGTTTTTAAGCAGATTGGGAAATGGAACAGCTTTTTCTTCTTCTTTTTCTTCCCCCCCCCCACTTTTTTTGTGAAGCTTTTCAAATTAAGGTGAACAATGGGGGAGGCTAGAGATATTTTTGATCACTTTAGAATCAATTTTCTGATGGGTGCAGAGTCCAGCATGGAAATACATGCAACAGAAGTGTCAGATCATCATAAGGAGGCACAGCAGGTGCTATGATAGAAGAAAGTTTGATTTTTTTTTTTTAAATACCAGTATCTTTGCCTATGATAGCACCAGTGAAGAGATAATGCAACAGAACAGGCAAGTTCCAAATGTAGGACCCACTGGAGGAAAACGGACCAGCTGAGGCGGCGACGTGAGCGGGAGGCTGAGGCGGAGGCGCTGGGGCCGCCGG